TCTCATTAAAACAAGGAAAATTTGGGTTTAGCGAGTTCATGTTTTGTATCTAAACACCATTACTTACTTCTAGCATGACATATACCCAAGCATGGTCTTTGCTGCATCTAGTCACTCCCTGAGTGCTCCCTGAGGTTTAGAGCTGCACCTTGCATATCTTTTTCTAACCATTACTGCCACAGCTCACATGCATGCCCAGCAATGATGTCTTGTTTCCCATTGTCACAGTCCTATTTCTGTGAACCCAAATAGACAGAAGCGGAATAGATTCTATGACAAATGGGGAAGGCCTGGTTCCTTTGTGTGTAGTGTCCTTTGTGTGCCTTGATATTTTCAGTTACTGAAAAATGAGAAAACGTAAAAGAATCAACAATACTTTGTTTTACTATAGGACAAGTAACTGCTGTTATAACAAGTGGTGTTCAGACTATGTGTGATTGAGGCGGCTTTCATAATAAGTCAGTAAGTTTTTCTTTTAATCTATATGAACTTTGCATGGCCTGATGTATAAGGGTGTATGTGCACGCACACATGTGCATGCGTACACACACACACACAGAGACACAGAACTTATAGCCCCACAAAGATCCAGGACATCCATTCCTATGCAGAATTTATAGTTAATGTAGCTAAAGTTACAGCTTTAGAGAAGCATCCTGTTTGACTCTCAGTTCTGTTACATTGCAGTTCAATTACAGCACCGATGTTATTGAAGAACTAAGAAGAGACTGCACTGGTGCTCTCGGGAACAGCAGCACAGAACGTTGTGTTTGTAGGTATGTGAACTAAAAGGTGGGAGGGGAAGTAGTGATAAGAGATTCAGAAACCTAATACTTTACTGTAACTGATTTCCGCTAGACACATTTTAGTTGCATTGAAGTGTACAGAGAAAAAAAAATAACTGTCTTTTCCCCTCCCTAGGCGGTTTCTGTGAGGCTTGTTACTAGCAAGCTGAAGACCCATGTGAAACCTACCTTTGGCAGTAGGTTAAGTATATAGTATGCCATCCTTAAGGTTACAAATCCTAATGACATTACATAGGTTTCTTCATGAGGGTGTGAATTTGCCTTTCTTTCAGAAAAGTGACTCAAAACAATCAGTGACTCACAACATAAATGAACCTATTCATGTTCAAAGACAATATATATTTTTTTCTAGTTGCTTTTACAGTCTGTCTACTAAACACGTGTTTTGAGTGCATTATACTCCATACCTCATCAGTCTCTGCCTACTAATGGTTCATGGTTAGTAACATTTTGTTGTGAGGGTGCTGCCCTAATACATTTCTCCTAGGGTAGCAAAGGGAAGTATCAACTGTTTGGAGCTCCCCCCTTTGCAGAGCATAACCACAGGTGCATGCCACTAGCTGGTGTGATGGAGATGGAACAAAAGGCTATGCTACTAACTCCTCATCCTTTGTCGTGTTTTTCAAATTGACTAGCAGTGGCAGTAGAACAGTAGGGAACAGATATTGCAGCCAGGTGAAGATAGTCATTTATTAAAGAGATGTATGATAACATTAAATTTTTTTTTCAAAATTTCATTTTCCAGGAAATTAAAACTATTATAACTATTTCTCGCTTTCAGGAAAAATTAAATCAAAATTGCAGAATTTCTCACAAAATGGAAAATCCTTCTTTCACTCGCCTAGAAGTTCACTCCAAAAGTATCAAGAGTCTATTAAAACAAACTATAAGCACACAAGTCTTCCAATAGATGTAACTCTGCAAACTTTCCTATGCTCTGATATCAAACTGTGACTTCAGTACCTGGAGAGTTTCTGTGATAGAGGCTGTGATTTAATAACTTCATGCTGAAGCCATGGGACTTGAAACCGTTAGCTGGATTATAGCTGATGTCTTGGTGGGGGGAATACATGGCTTAAGATCTCCATGCGGATGTCTCTGCAGTCTGAAGGACAGACTATGGCCAGCACTCTGCATGGGTGTGCAAGGCGTGGAAATGAGAAGGGGACCAGGAGCTTTACAGACAGGGAACTTACAGGCAAGGGCCAGCCATGAATGCAGCCACGATTTTGCCAGGCCTGGCCTCACTTCACTAAGCCATGGAGGAATATACTGCAGATATAATAGCAGAGTAAGTTTGTAAGGACAAGAATCCTAATAATTTGGATCAGAAATTTTCCGTCAAAATGTCTTTTCCAATGAGAATGCAAATGTTGATGACTTTTTAAGCAAATGACATTTTTTTTCTAATAGCACTTCAATATTTTTTTTAACATTTTGTGGGGGAAAGGAAGAGCTATTTTTAATTTCAAAATGAAATTTTAAGATCAAAACTATTAAATATTTTAAGTTTTAAAAGTGAAATGAGGCTGGGATTTTCTTTGCTGTGTGGTGATGTGCTTTTTCTAAAGGGTGTGACAGTTTTATTATCATCCTGTTCTCAGCTCTCCAAGCAGTTTGATTATTGTGTTGATTTGTGGTCTTTTTGAGCCAACCTGGGATCATTCTCAAAGAAGTTACAAATTAGGCCATTTACCCCAAGGTGGTGATCCAAACAGAGTTAAGCTTCTACAGCTCCTATACAGTAAAAAGGGAGAATTAAGTGCCTCCAAAGGGTAACCCAGAGTATCTAGGCATTGAACCTGGAGATGCCTACAGTTCCTCAATAGAGTATGTCTGATCTCCCAGCCATCCCTGAAGTTTAGGCACCTGATTTGGGGCTGCACACCTGGTGCCTCCTATCCTCTCAGGATCCAGCATGCCTTGAAGGGAGGTGCTGAACTCATACCAGTTACAATAAATTTAGTACAAAATGCAGTACCCATCACCACTTTCACTCTCAGATGGGGTTGCTGGTAGTAAGGGAAGGGTGGTGGTGGTGGGATTCTGTGTACCAGTACATGTTGCCAGAGTTACTACAGTTTTTTTGACAGATAAATGTAAAATGTAGAAAGAGTCCTGAAAATGCTTATGTTTGTTCCCCCATATTTCATAGCTTGGTGAGTTGGCACTCTCCTGGGAAATGGAAGATATAGCTTCAAGCCTCCTTAGGCTAAGGCCTTGAACTTGTATTCTATTTGTGCTAGGAGAAAAACTTTACTCCTGACATGCAAAGAGAGCATACAGCCTTAAAGAGATTTCTGGCAGAATGCAACTTTGCTCTTTTGCAATGAAGTTGGTTTGCATACCTATTGGGAAGATTTTCCTTCTCTCAATCTAATTTGAAAAGCTGTGCACTTCTTTTGGGTGTACACCCAATATCCCATGGTCTTCTGCTCTCCCTGCCTCCCTCTGAGAGTGTGCAGTGAACTAACATAAGAGCCCAGCTGGTTCCAATCTAATTATAATATATCAGGGAATCAGCCCCTGACTATAACAAGCTTGAATCAGTGTCCTAGGCTATTTGGAAAATAAGGGCAACCAGCCCTCTGAGGCCACAGAAAACAGGCTGTACCCAGCAGGCCCCAGACAAAAATACTGTCCAGCTACTGACATCTCTACTGCTCCTTGACTTGCTTACCAGAACTTCTGGCTTCAACTCCTATTGCACCCAGGCTTCAACTTGGACTCCTGACATGCCCTGACTTTGACTTGGGTAGCTGGCTTACCTGGACCTCTGATCTCAACTCCTGGCTTACCATGACTCCAGCCTTGACTCCTGGCTTGCTATGAATGCAGTTTCTTAACTTTGCCTGACTCTCAGATGACTTGCCCCAATTTCCTACAACCTGTCTTTAAGGGGGGCGAGGAGGGAGAGCACTGGCTCCTTGATACCCTGTCTAGGGAACTCTCCCAAAATGTGTTCTCGCTGCTGGAGAATGCCTCTGCTGTGGTTTGGCACAGAGCAGTATAGGGGGAGGCAAGTTGTTGTATCACATACAGTGGGCTGTTCTCCCATAGCAGGAACTGGGAGGGTTCCCAATGTGTAGAATGACCTCCCCCTGCCTGGGTCCCACCAATCAGCTGACTGTCTCCACCCACCATCTTGCCATTCTCCCACAGCAAGAATACTCCCATGGCTCTGGGCACCCCCAAGAGCAGGGGTGGCTGAAGGAGAGGTTCTCTAATGCCCCCTGGCTTGAAAGCTCATCCATATAGCTCAGATAAATTATTACTGCTCCAAAATGCTTGTGGTCTAAGAAGACCCGAGGACTTAGGTCTCCCACTTCCTGGGTGAATGTTGAAATCACAAAGTTATTGTGCAGGTGGTGGGTGGCACCACTCTTACACCGACTGGCTGCTTGTGGGAGTGAAAGTGACTGTGCATGCAGCACTTAGTACTGAATTCAGTTTCCTGAGTATGAACTGGGTGCGTTGTGAATCAGGGCTTAAATTGATTTTTGACATGTCTTAGTGGTGAACTGGATAGTAATGGGCTTAAGGTAAGAGTTAGCATCCTAGTTGTTTCAAAGAAAATCTAGGTACATAAGAACTTTTTGGTCAAATTGAGGTTCCCAAGTAGTTTTCTTAGCTACTGGAGTAGCACCTAAATTCTATGCAAGTCCTGTTTGGTGTCTACAAGAACAATTTGGATTTGCTCCTCGTTCATATGCTAGGATTACAATTTGATTTCAAACAGGATCTATTTTTGACAGTGTAGAGGATGTAGTTTCATAGATTTCATAGACAGTGGGCTTGGATCTCTGGGCAAATAAATAATGGGTACTATAACTGTGTTAATACTTTGGAAACAAGTGCTGTAATTCCAAGACCAAAATAGCATTGAGGTGGTAGTAAGGATGTACATATGTCTTGATAACTTTAAAGAAAAATATTTAAAATAGGAAACCATAGTAAAAAAATAATCTGCAAGCCATGATAAAATTGAGAGTTACCTTTACATTCCATATTTTCAGATATCTTAAAAGTGAAGGTACCCCAAACAGCTTTACATATGAACAACATCAATTTCCATCCATATTGGAGGAAGTGTGCGTTTGTCACTGAGTGTGCACTCCACAGAGATGTTTGCTCAGGACCACTGGACCCTTCTATGGTCTGAGAATACCCTAAGGGGGACCCTAGCCTTACAGTCCATTACCCTCCCTGGTTTGCTGTGGCTCTAATTTAAAGAGCAAGCATCCAGTTTCATTCCTGAAGAGGTCACCTTGGGGTGACCCAGTGCAACCTACAGATCCAGGCAGCACAGCAGACGGTATCTTTGGTAAAGGCATTACTGAGGCAAAGAACAGCTCACCAGAGGTTCATGTCCCTTCCAAAGGGGTTAAGCAGTTCTTCCATCCCCAATCTAGCTTACACAGTCCTAAGCACCTCCAGAAATATTTAGTGGTTCCTTTCCAGTCTTTTCCAGCTCCCCACAGCTCTTCTAATTTCTTTCAGCCCCCTAGACTCTTCTGTCCCCAGACCTGCTATGCTGTTTCCCAGCCTGTTCTCCTTTTGTCATCTTGCCTCAACACCTTCTGAGTGTTAACCACCTTACTTCTGTTGATATGCCAGCACAGCCATTCAATAATGATGTTGCTAAAGGTCCATTTAGTTTATCCTGTAGCCAGTCCTGGTACTTAACTCCCTTCTCCTCTGTGCGCAGGCTAAGGCCGTAAGCTAAGTTATACTGGGTACAACTACATGAGATGCCATAATGCACAATAACCTCTTCTACTGTGCATTAGCACATCACAACAAAAAAGCATGATAATGCATTAATGTGCAGTTGAATTAGTCTACTGCTCATTAGGTGTCACAAAAAATCTTTTGCCTTTGCTACTACACATTAGCACAAGTTAATGTGCCCTTATGTAATACCTGAGTGGTGCTAAACTTAATGTGCAGTAGCAAAGGCGCATTAATGAACACGTTGATGTACCCACTGTATTATAACAACAATGTGAACAAAATTAACAGAAATATCACACTAAACCATGTAGCCCAGAGGTAGGCAATGCCCAGCATGGGTGCCAGAGCATGGCACATGAAGACAGTTTGTTTGGCACATGGGCCTTAGGGTGGACAGCAGGGAAGGGGGTGGACTCCATTGCTATAACAAGGATTGGGCTCCTTGTGGCTCTCCTGCTATCTGCCCTTGGCATGCCAATATCTTACAAGATCTGGGTGTGAGTTTTTTTGCCACTCTGCCCAAAAAACATTGCTGACCCCTGATTTAGACTCTTAGAGCATCACTTTCAGTTACTGTTCTATATGCAAATACCCAACCTCTGCTAGCTCATTGTAAACTGATTTCAGTCACTGATGGTAGTGTTAGAGTGATGTTGTAGCTGTGACAGTCCAGAAACTGTTCAAGAAGCAAGGGTTTCTTAGGGTGACAATACCTTTTTCTGAGCCAGCTGCAAAGCTGGGACAGAGTTAGGTAAGCTTTCAAATGCAAGACATGAAAGACCTGATGAAGAATGTCTTGCATTCAAAAGCTTGTCTAACTGTCCCAGCTATGCAGTTGATCCAATAAAAGCTATCATCCTAAGAAATCCTTGCCTCCTGCATTCAGCCACTGATTCATTACTACCTTTGTTTATTGTGGACACTTGTATAGTGAATTCCAAAGTCAGCTTCAGCATCTTATTGATTGTTATAACAAACCATACTAAAAAAAATCATTCTTGCTTTGGAATGCAAAAAAGTTAATATCTTGAAAATAAATAGCACCCTTAGATTTTTTTGATTCAGGTGGCTAACTGTTCTAGATAAATAAATATTTTTTACTAGGGGACCTTGCATGAAAGTTACAAATGCATCGGGCATGATTTTCAAATGAGTGAGAATAAAATTAGGCTTTTAGGGTGCCTATATGTGAGCGTGGAGACTGTTTTGATGTGCTGGTGTTCCACCGTGTCAAAGCAGACCCGCTTAATCAAGTCTGCTGGAGCATGGCAATTGCTGTACTCCAGCAGCCTTCTGCATCTCGTGTATCAGTGTCTCTATGCTTAAAAATGGCAGTGGGGTCACTTGAATTAAAGTTCATTTGATGAGCTTTAGTTCAAGCACCCTCACCACCATTTTTAAGTGCAGGAATGCTGACACAGGAGCTGAGGTAGTGCTTTAATTAGAGTGGCTATTGAAGCCACTCTAATTAAAGTGCCACCCACCCCACCCCTGGACCATGTGTAAAAGTACCCTTAATCTCTATCTCAAGGGCCTAAGTAGGTAGCCTGGTTTCTTAATACTGTGGAATATTATATAGCTCCCATTGACTTGAGTGGGAGCTGCCTCATACTCAGCAATTTTAGATTCCATATTTATCAAATACAAGACAAAGGTTTGTTTTTTTTCTCCAGGCAGCATAG